CCTCAAATCTGAATTTATACGGAACATTAGCAACTGTGATTTTATAAAATAATTATGTAGATTTAAAAAAAATGCAAAACTACATTTATTCACTAAAGAAAATTATATGTGTAAATTTTCAGGCAATTCTGCCCAAAGGAAGTCACCCTGTTGTTCCAGCTGTGCTAGGACATAGCTCTAGAAGCTTCCTCGTGGCTTACACCACTGCGTTGGCCAAGTCCCCAAGGAAAGGAAGAGGTTACTGCCCTTGACCTGGTCTTTCCACGTTAAAGAATTCAGTCTGCCGGAAAAGACCAAGCCATACAAATGTTTTTTCATTAAAGTTATACTAAAATATGATAAAATTATTCTATGCACATGCTTAGTATTTTATAAAATAATTATGTAGATTTAAAAAAAAATGCAAAATCTTAGGCTTATTTTTTTAAAATATACACACATGTGCATGCACCCGCACAGGCACATGCATATGCACACAAACACTAGCAACTGTACTTTGGAACATTCATTCTAGATAATTGAAAACACTCATTTGCACAAAAACTGAAATGTTCATAGCAGCTTTATCTGGAATACGCAAAAGCTGAAAAAGTCGGCCCCGGAACGTTACATGCAGTATGATTCTATTTATATAATATGTTTGCAATGACACAATTCTAGAGCATGGAAGACTTCACAGGTGTTTGCCAGAGGTTAAGGGGAAAGTGGGGGTGGCTGTAAAAGGCAGCATGTGGGGTCCTGGGGCTGATGGGACGCTTCTATATCTTGACTGTATCAGTGTCAACACCCTGGCTGTGATCTTGTGTAAGATCACTGGGGGGAACTGGCAAAGGGTCCTGGGATCTTTCTATATTCTTGCTTACATATGCATGTGGGTTTACAATGATCTCAAAACGAATGACATCTACAAATATAGAGGGGGGAAAAACAGGAAGAAAATATATCAGAACTCCAATGATGGGCTGCAAGTTAGTAGATGTTTTTAATTTTGTTTTTTAATATATTTCTATGACACTTTTCTAAAAATTTTCAACATTTCTAGACTTACAAAGCTAAATTGGGCCAATTAATATTGCTATCAATGAACATATCTGGATACAAACAACTGATTTAATTTTTTAAAATTTTCAAAAAGCAACCAAAAACAAATCAAACTGATATACTAAACCTCCACCAAGAATCGCAAACTATTAGAAGGAAAAAGGGCTTCTCTTCTAATCCACTTGTCTTATACATAGTAAATTTCAGCCCAGAGATGAAACAGGGATGGGGTGAAAGTCCAGGAACCCCAATTCTTGGCCCAAACATCACTTGACACCTGGTACCTGTCTTACTGTCCTGGTCTTTATTCTAATGTTCTGATGTCTTTATTCTGAATCACGAGCCAGGACCCTTATAGCATGAACTTGAACCTCCATTCCTACAATTCTGAACCGCATTGATGTTTCACAAGCGTCTCAAAGAAAAGCAACCCAGATGACTACATCTCCTCCTCACCCTGTGCCTACTTCCTTCCTTATCCCTTCCTCAGGGAATGATAGCTTCAGGACCAGCTCCCAAGTCAGAGACCAACATCAGCCTGTAGTCCCTCCACATCCACCTCCCAAGTCCTGCTGATTCGATGACCCACACTCCCTGGATTCCATCTCCCTCCACTCCTGCCTCGGCCACGGCTCACTCCTCACGTTTTTCATCCAGACCCTCACAACAGCTTTCTAATTAGTATCTGCCTCCCGTGTCCCATGGCATGAATTCCTATCGCTCAAGTTGGAGTCCAAGAATTATTTAATTTTGAGTTTTAATGATTAAAAAAGTTTGGTTGTTTTTGGTGGGTTTTTTTTTTTGCTTTGGCCAGTGTGGCTCAGTTGGTTGGGCGTCATCCAATGCACCAAAAGGTCGCCAGTTCCATTCCCAGTCAGAGCACATGCCTTGATTGTGGGCTCAATTGCCAGTAGGGGGTTGTACAAGAGGCAGCCAATCCATGTTTTGCTCTCACATTAATGTTTTTCTCTCCCTCTCCACCTCTCCCTTAAAAAAACAGTTGGTTTTTTTACTAGTTTTAATGACAAATTTTCCTAGCACTGATAACTTAGAAGGGAAAGACATTTTCAGAGACATATCTCTGGTTTCTTTGGCTGGTGTTTCCCAAAGTGTAGTTGGCTCGCTCTATAAGAGGACACAACTCAGTTCTGAACAGTATCATCCTTGGTAAGCTTGAACCTCACTCTGCTCCCCATGGGCCGAGCAACCTTGACTTGCTCCAATGACTCAGTTCTGTCACCTTCCACTTCATCATATACAAGAACAGGAAAACAATAACACACATACCTCACAGAGTGGTAGGGAGATAGATCTTGGAGCTGAGTAAGCAACTCAGGTATTTCCACTGTGGGTCCTGTTATTATTATTAGTGATGTAATCTGATCTTGCCCTGACTGAAATTCTCACAGTTTGTTCCCAGTCACTCCCAGGATGAAGAGTAATCTCCCTAATGTGGTTTCCTGCCATGCCTTTCAGGAAGGCCGTTGCTGCTTCTCCCACCAAGCTGACTCCAGCCCTGTCTCTTGCCCTCTCTCCTACCCCTCCCACCTTCCACACTGTGGTACACCCTCCTGGGGTCCACCCTTCATACATCCTGGTCATTCCTCTTCCAAGTCTCAGCCAGCACACCCAGCCTGAGCCAGGGCCTTTCCCTCCCATCGCACCTTGCACGGAACCTCTCCTGTCACCACATTATACTGTGTCCTTTTCTTAAATCTTTATTACATTTACTGGGGTGACGTTATTGTACGTGACATTGGATAATAAAATTATATAGGTTTCACTTCTCCCAAGAAGACGGATATATGCAATCTCTTTCTCATCTCTTCCTAGGAACCAGGGTGGCAAACTTTGGGCTCCTGCTGGGAAGTGGCTGATTTCCTGGAGCAGCATGAGGTGGTTCTGGGGCTCCAGGTGGCCAGTGGGAAAGAGGGCAAGACAGAACAGTGATGTCTACAGCAGTCAGGGCCATGCTGCCGGCCTTGTACTGGACCAATCTGGGAGGACCAATCTCGTGAAAACCTCGGGGACATTATCGCCTACTGACACGTCTGGCACCACTGGCTTACTAACCGTCTGCTAAAGGGACGAGCACCAGCTGCCCTTCTCTGGTGCGAGGAGCATATAAGGAGCACCTTGCATTTGCATGTAAAACCTAACTCCAAAGGCCGAGTTGTAAATCAACATTTTATTCCCTGGCTGCCTTGCAACTGCCTAAAACTGAGTAATATTATAGTCATTCCTTAGCTGCTCTAAAGTAAAATGAAAAAGACACATTTGAGCCAAAATTGCACACATCTTGACGTTTTAAAACAAAGTCACAATCAATTTTATGAATCCTAGCTTTAAGCACTATGTTTTTTGCATGCTACTCACTTCCAAGTGGCAAGTAAGAGATATGAAGCAAGGCACTTATTAATCCAGTGAACAATGATAGAATGATTCCAGATTCAAGACTGAAACCCAAAGTCATTTTTGGCTGTTAGTTTGGTGAAATATCTACAGGGGGCCAAGGGGCCAGCTTGGCTCAAACTTATGGTGCAAGAAGCAGAAGAAACCAAGTCATCCATCCGGAAGATAATAGGAAAGGCCAGAAACGAAGTGCACAGCTTGGAACATGCAAGGATTCGTTCCCACACTGTCCCTGTATGCTAACCCAACCCCTACTGCCAAAGAAACCTCTGGCAATGTCAGGGAAATGCTACTTTAATTACTATAAGGATTAGGAGGAGGCAGTAGGCTGGAAAGAGAAAAGACTAAAAAAAATATGTCATTAAATGATGGCAACGATCCCTTTACTAGTAGAAATATATATTTAATAAGAAAAATTAATACTATGCACTGAGTTTTGGACCATGAACAACTTAAGGGGGCTAAAAAAATAATGCTTGCTTGTTTCTCCCTGAAAAGTATCAACAAAGATTTATTGTTCCTCTATCAATGTCTGTGAATGGATATAAGAGCCTTGCACACCTGCTGTAGGAAATCAGGTCCAAGCATCTAAAAGCCAGAGTACCTGAGGTTCAGAAAGACTGATGGAAATTTGGTTGGAGTCTTAGTCTTGGCAACAGGACAAAACCCGACACATTTCCAAATGCCACGAGGGGCTGACAGGAAAGCACCAGGCTGTGTACAGCAAGGCATCCTCAGTGTGGCCAAATCAGGTACACAGAGAGCTACAGCTCGGGCTGAAGTAGAAAACGCCAAGTCCTAAGTCTCCAACCATCACTTGCTTAATCTATAGTATACACAGTAATTGTGACAGGTCATTATAGTCCCTGGCATCCCACTGACCCCAATGCAACCCCCGGCTCACATTCTTGCCATGTCCAATCAAGGCTGCGATATGAGAGAGAAACATCCACCAGTTGCCTTCCCTACATGCCCCGACCAGGCATCGATCTGAAACCCAGGTATGGAACAGGCAACTTTTCGGTGCACAGGACGATGCTCAACCAATGAGCCATTCCAACTGGGCTGATATTTTCTTTAGCCAGTGGGAAATGTTTTCTTTAATATGGAAAAAGGTATTTCTTTAATCTATTAGTAGAGACACGACTAATAAACACTTAATGGATAAGTCCTCAAAAATCATTAAATGGAGTGAACTGAGAATTTTATTTCAGAAATATATGACAATAGGCCCTTTCTCAGGACCTTCTACTGCTAGAATGACCGGTCGCTATGACGTGCCCTGACCACCAGGGGGCAGATGCTCAACACAGGAGCTGCCCCCAGCCCACAGGCCAGCCAAGGAGGGTGCCAGTGGGGGCCCCCTGATTGCCCCGCTGGTTACCCTGCAGAGGGAGGCAACCAGCAGCGGCGGCGGCGGTGGGGGTGGGGGGTCCGGGCCAGCGAGCGGGAAGCACCAGGCCGGCCAAGGCGGGTGACAGTGGGGGGGCCCCCAACTGCCCCATCAGTTGCCCCACAGATCGGTCCTGATCGCTGGCCAGGCCTAGGGATCCTACCCGTACACGATTTTTGTGCAGCGGGCCTCTAGTTGTAAATAAGATGTTACAGGAACCAAATAGTATAGATCTTTTTTTAATGAACTAATCTCTCAAATACAGTATTTATTCAGGCAGAAATGATGTAAAACCAGAACTCCCGGAAACTTTTACACTGTTTTTGTTAACTCTGCAGAGGATTATAGGAAACTGAACTAGCTCCCAGGATAAGAATCCTGTTCGGGACTCATACCTCTTTAAGAGGATATACCTGCCATTCCAAATGACTAACTGTGAGAGCACCAAAAAGCACCACGATCGATTGAATGGGTGTTGTTGTTTTTTAAATCCTCCTCTAAAACGTGAAGACAAGCACTGGTGAGCACACTAGACCGAGAATCACTGTGAATGCCTAGGTGGGTAGTAGTGAGTCCCAGCAAAACTCAGAGATATGGCATCTGTGTAGTTCTCACACTGTCGGAGCATGAGACATTCGCAGAGTGCTTTAGCATGATCATCACTATGACATAAACAAAATCAGCACCGTCGCCTTGCTGTTCTGACTTGTTTCTGAAATTTCACTGAATACCTCACTAAGTCAGGGAGCCGTGTGTGGTACCAGAGACGGGACCTGGAGTTACAGAGTAAGAGCCAGAGCAGAGGCCAGGCTGAGGCTGGGCGGGGTGAGGGCCATCCTCCCGCTTTGGTGTGTCCAGGAATTCTCAGCAGAACTGTGAGTAGTGCTGCCATTTGGTCCCTCACCCAGAGGGTGTGACTGGGTAGAGGCTTGGAGTAGAGCCAGTAACTCAGGTGTTGGAATCAGCTATCAGGACGAGAGCAGGTGACAACTGGGAACCATTGAGCAGCACCTGAGACGACGATTGATCACTGTTATTACTGATGTACCTATGTATCTGGGTGTGACTGGATGGGGGAAGAGACTCCAGAAAAGGCGCCCTTAACAGCCAGCACGAACAGATGTGGGTCTGAATTCAGGGTGCTGCCGGCATATGCAGACAGAATCCACAGGACATTAGCCAACTGAATAGCTGGGAAGAAGGGCTTCAGGATCTGTGTGCTGGGTGACTTACCAGTACATTTGCAGGGAAACAAAGCTAGGAGGTGGAAGATTTCAGAGATTTTAGCAGCAATTCAGTGCTAGGTGGTTAGAAAAACAAACCAGCACCCATATTCAATATTCTCTACAAGTCCAGGGTTCAAATCCCAGTTCCCCCATGCCCTCTACTTTGGTGAACCACTTTGTTACAGTTATAGAGACCGTGTGCTTTAATTCCACAATTAGAGCAGGAGTCTGGGCGGCCGGGAGAAAGATGGGTGGGCCTGTGGGTAAGACGGAACTGGGGAGCACAGTCCAGCGGGCTCTGACAATTTCCCACTAACAGACTGTAACACAGCAATTAAGAAGGAAAAATAACACAGAAGAGCCTGAGCATTCCTGCCCTGAGAGACTCCCTGGTTTACATTTTACTCGCAACATATGATGTTTTCCTGCTCTTAGAAGCCCTTGTGGAAAGATACTATGGCCTTGGTACTTCCCGCCACAGGAACAGTGTGGCCCCTCCCACACCATCAGCTACATCCAATCTATATTGTTCACATGGCTTCAGAGGAGATGCTAACATTGCCAACATGGTACAATAAAAAACAGGCCGTAAGCCTTTATTTACAATGTCTGGCAGCTACAAATAAAGCTTAAACCAATGTATGCAGAGTTGGGGGAAGGTCCGACATACAAAGAGCTAACTTTGTTTAAAAAATAAAAAAAGAGGTGATTTAAAATGTTTAGAAGCTGCTTACATAACCCTAGAGACCCAGAAGGAGGTCTTATTCAGAAACAATGCACGTTTTCAAATGAATTCCGCTCGGAAGCCTTTCGCCGTGATATTAGGAGAATTAAGGTATTACGGGTAATTACTCTATGGATTGAGCTAAGCCCATTAAAATAGAGACCATATTTCTGGACTAAAGGTCAAAACAAATTATTAACAACACGAACAATTCTGTTAATCGGGCTAACACTCGACAGTAGGGCGGAATTTTCAGATTTTAGCAAAACGGCTTATAATGTCTTTACTTTGAACTGACACCAACATTTGCCTCTGCGAATTTAACACCCTTTAAATTATGCATGAGCAAGCATGAAACAGCGGGGATGAAGATTAATTTTCATGTGAAAATTTTAATTTTCCCTATTTCTCTGAGATAGAAAGGATGGTTATGTTTCATGAGCTCCACGGACCACCACGGCGGAGCAGCCTGTGGCCTGAGACACTAATAACTGATGCAGGCTCTCCTTCACCAAAGCCAAGTGCTCTTCGGACTTTAACAATAGAAGCTGACTTCTGTGCCAACTCTTCCCGCAAATGCTTTTCATCAATAAGCTTTTTTGCAAGTGTGTCTAATAATAAAGCCCATGATCTCTTTGTCCTGGCCTCATTATTCCAGGCCCAGGCAAGCTTGGGGGCCTGGAGTGTTTTGAACTGGTCGGGCACATAGTAGCCCACACTCGGGCACAGCCCTGTTCCCTGCTGAGATTAGCACAATATCTGATACCTAGACAAAGAGGACAGAACCATCGAAGCCATGAGACTAATCTTCTGGAGGGACTGTTAGGAGTGGGGGTAGTATTACACAATAAATAGATAATCAGGAGCAAGTACATCCTTGGTTTCACAGTATAAAAATAGGCCCTTAGAAAATAGCACCGCAGAGAAAACCCTCTACACATATCTGCACACTTCAGAAAATGTGGCCCACACCTGCCCAAGTTTAGAAAAGTGTAATTTCTGATGCATGTGTTGTCTGAGATGGGGGTTTCAGTCTGCTCACCTGCCTTTTGCCAAAAGCTCTTTTGTTCAAAATGTATTGACTCCGTGCCTGGCACGTTCAAGGAGCTGAGGAAATAAAGACAGAACTGGTCTCTCTGGGTGTGGTTTCGGCTGGCTGCCAGGGCGGCAGGGAATGGCTGCAGGAATGTATGAGAGCTGGTCAAGGGAAGGGGCGGATGAAGAAAATGATCCTGAACGTGCCCTAAAAGGTGCCATAACGAAGGTGCAGGGAGACCAACTCCACCAGGGAGATCACCTCCTCACAGGGGTCCCGGCACCTTCAGTGATATGACCTGACAGAAGTCAGTCCACTCCTCAGAACCTCCTATCTGTCCAAAGGCAGGAAAAAAACTCCCAGGTACAAGGCTGATGTGATCATCATCCAGGTGTTAACAATGCCCAGGTTGAAGGGACCTGGAAGAATGGGCATCGCTGTGCCAAGGTAAGATACCTGCTAACATTTGGCAGTGGGCCCATTGGCTCAATCATCAAACTGTCAGAGGCTTGTTTCCTTGGAAACCCTGCTATGGCTTCTGGTTCCATGTCCCTGTTTTGTCTCATTCTGCTAGTACTCTGAGCCCATGGCCATACATTCCTGCAGCCATTCCCTGCCGTCCTGGCAGCCAGCCGAAACCACACCCAGAGAGACCAGTTCAGCCCCAGCCTCCACACGTCACCAGGCTGTCCACATGCTCCAGTTTAAATCATGTTCTCCACTCCACCCCTACCTTCCAAATGCCTATGGCAATGACCTACTTCCAAGTATTTTTGTAACTCATATGTGTGTATCTACATGCACATAGATGCATATGCATATGTATCTCCAGATATACATATATAATTATGGCAATTCTTATCTGTATAATACGGCAATCAGCCCTCTGGGAAGTGCTCTTCAATCCCCATTTTATAAATGAGAAAACTGAGGCCCAGAGACCTTAAACAACTTGCCCAAGGTCAGTGTGTGGCAGGCAGGGCTGGGAGTCAAAGGCCCATCCATCAGAGTCTACTGTGGAAATGTGGCTTTTGTGCTACCAGCGTGCACCGTATTTTCCTGTTTTGAAATATGTTTCATTTGTATCCACAAGATCCTACAACTAGCTTATCTAACTTTGTTGTTGTTGTTGTTGACAGCATTACAGGTGTTCCCATTTTATCTCTGCCCCACTCCAGGCCCTCACCACATGATTGTCTGTGTCCATGAGCTATGCATAGATGCATGTAACTTCTTTGGTTAATCTCTTCCCATCCCTCTGTTCCCCCACAACCCCCTTTGAGCTCTGTCATTCTGTTTCATGCATCCATGCCTCTGGACCTATTTTGTAGGTCAGTTTATTTTGTTCATTAGATTCTTCGTATAAGTGAGATCATGTGATGTTTGCCTTTCTCCGACTGGCTAATTTTGCTTAGCGTAATAATCTATCTAAACAGTAGCTCCTGCCTGCCCACTGTTAAAAATCAAGTTATAAACGGAGCAGTACTTTAAAACTGCATCTATGCTAAGCACTTGGACTCTTTCAGTATAGCACATCAAATGTATATTGATGGGTAAAAACAGACTTTCTTTTTAAAGAAGTAAAATAGTCACAGGAAATGGGATGCCAACACTTAACCAACAGCTCCTCGGTCTTCTGAACTTCCATAATAGCATCAAAACTAGTTTGCACAAGTTAGGCAGAAGGGTTAAGTGAGGATACCAATAAATAATAATTACATGGTTACATAAGAACTTTAAATACTTAACCCATATTCCTTCATTATAATTTATCCCAACAAACAAAAGGACTGACGCACAAGAGGGAAAATTGGGCAAAACAAGAAAAGTGGGTTGTCCCAAGTCCCTCAATGAATCAGCCGCTGACCTAGGTGCAAATCACAATCAATTCCCTTCTCCTTGTTTTCTGCTCCCCTCAATCAACCTGAGGAACTCTGCTCCATATTTCTATCCAGTTGTCCCTGTGTACCCCTGAAATTATTCTTTAAATCATAATACTAGATAAAAAAAAATTTTCCAAGCAATTTTAGCTACCTTTTTTTTCTTTGAATAATTATCTCTTATCCAACTCAGGGCTGAGTATTATTCATAAATCACAGAAAAAAACATACATTTCACTGCTATCAGGTCCACATCCCATATTAACACAAATCTTTAATTTTCACATAGTTTTTCACTCTCAGAGCACCTCAGTGAACTAAGAGGAGCAGAGAACAATGATTCCTGAAAATAAAGATTCATCCAATGACTCCATGGTTTATCCACTACACTCTCTCCAACAATTTGCCTAATTAATTTTTTTATAGTCTCAATCAAAAAGGGTAAATGTGTCGTTATGAAAGTAGTTATAGTAAGAAAAGAGGAATATGAACAAACGAAGCAAGAAAACTTATTCAGTTTAATGTTTTGCTAGTTAATCTACCAGAACAGAAAGTCTACTTGTTTTCTGAAAAGCAAAAGATGGTCTTACACCATATTAACACAAAACTGGCACAAACAGAATTCTATAACCCAATCTACACTCAATGACTAATTCCAACTTTCCCCTGGTATATCAATTTTTGTCCTAAAAGTGTGTCAACCCAAGTACGAAGCTAGGTGAAAATTACTGCAACACTAAGAGCTTGAGTTATATTGACTGGATTATTCTCAGTTAGCGGTGTTTAAAGCCAGCTCTGAAGAACTCCAAGTTTCACAGAAACGAAGGGGTTGTTTCTGCCCACTCCTCCTTCTATTGTCTATAAAATCTATGAACTTCCAGTAACATTGTATTTGAACAAAATAATTCCAGATATATATATATATATATATATATATATATATATATATATATATATATATAAATAACTCTCTTAATTATCCTACCAAAACCTATAACTGAAGCCATAACTAGCTGCATTAAAATGATCAAAACCTTTATCTTTAAGCAAAAGGAATGAGAGTAATTTTAAATACCTGCTACAGAACTAAACCTCTTGCTGAGACCAGGCCCAGGAATCACAAGCCTGGGGTTGGAATTGCGTTTTCTGTTCTTGAAGCAAAAGATCCCTATTGTTGAATTAACTGCAGCAGGGACTCCAAACACTTAAGTGGGGCTGCTCATTATCAGTAGCCAAACAAGAAGTATAAGACAATGGAATGAATTTTTCCTAAAGCTTAATTTCTTCCATTTAAAATGTTATCCTCGCCAGAACCGGTTTGGCTCAGTGGATAGAGCGTCGGCCTGCGGACTGAAAGGTCCCAGGTTCGATTCCGGTCAAGGGCATGTACCTGGGTTGCGGGCACATCCCCAGTAGGAGGTGTGCAGGAGGCAGCTGATCGATGTTTCTCTCTCATCGATGTTTCTAACTCTCTATCTCTCTCCCTTCCTCTCTGTAAAAAATCAATAAAATATATTTTAAAAATAAATAAATAAAATGTTATCCTCCTTTAGGGTGAAATTATGTCCTTCAACACACTGAAAGTGTATTAAAATTGTCTTAAAAAATAAAATGATGGCCCAGGAGTTATGAAATATAAAAGATGGGCAAGCTCTCTGCTGGTCTCCTGGAATTTCTGGGTGGAGAAAACCAAAGGCCTGGGAACCAAGGGGCTACAGCGTCCAGGCACCAGAGAACAGCAAATGCAGACTGATCATGGCTAAGTGTTCTCATGGGGTGTATTATTGATTTTGTTTTCAAAGTAAAATGAGGCGAAGCTACTGAAGGACCAATTAGGACATTACTATCTTTAAGTGTCGTAAGACTAAAAGGATTCAAATGCAGTTTCCTTCACAGCAAGCTTTTCGCAACACTGAAAACCACTTTGAAGTCACTGAAGGGTGACAGCCATTTCTGGGTGTGAGACAAACTGTACTAGAATGGGCCTGCCAAGTCCCTTTTCGATGCCCCGCCCCCCGCCACCCTCCAGCACCACACACACCCAAGCAGAAAGGCTCAGAGAGTCCATTACTATAAAGAGAAATTTCCTAGATTCTGGTCATAGTGAAAGCACAGATTTCACTGATCATCTTCCAACGTCTTTATTATCTTGGTTCTTTGTTGTCAAAAGTACAGGCACACCTCGTTTTTACTGCACTTCACAGATGTTGCAATTTGTACAAACTGAAGGTAAGACCTTCTACCAGCAAAAAGGTCACCCCCTCCTTTATTGCAATCCTCACTTCATTACAGAGGCCTGGACCTGAACCTGCCCTACAGGTGTGCCTGCAGCTAAAAGAGGATGAAGAGAAGCCGGTGGCCACAAAGAGGTTCCTAACTGGCCAGCTGGTATTCAAAGGTGGGGAAAGTCATCACTGTGCAGGGCCTGCCATTGGGACGACTCTTCATAATACCCGGCGGGCACTGAGTATCTAGGATGTGAGCACATCCCTAGGCACCTCACGCACTCCCTCCCTCTTCCTCCAGCCGCCCCTGAAAGACCAGTATTCCCACCACCATCTCCCAGATGGAAAACAGAGAATTAATGTCATGTAATTGTCCAAAGTTGTCCAAAGTCGGGGGCAGTCATAGCGAGGACTCCGCCCTCTATCACCAGTCACATCTGATCTCTAAGATGCTCTTCTTCAGGCCAATCAAGATAAATCACGTCCCCGTGCCCT